AAGGACCGTAAGAAGAATCAATGACTATGATTGGTCAATTTGCTTACTGCTTAAGTTTTTCTGTATGCCACCAGCTTTAGAAGAATCAACGACTGTGATTGGTCAATTTGCTTACTGCTTAAGTTTTACTGCTCAAGTTTTTTTGTGTGCCACTAGCCTTATTAGTTTCATATACGTAAGTTTTACTGCACAGGCTTAATCAAACCATAAAATAGCTGCGCAATAATACTTACGTATACGCAACTAATTAGAGAATCGAGCCCGAAGTCCAATGTGAGATCCGTAAACATAACTGTATTCTGATAACATCAGAAATCGCTTCCTAACGTTCACAATGGTAACTGCTGTAACGTAACAAATCGTAAACCTGTAATATGAATTTATTTGAGCTGATTTTAACCTCCGTCTTTGTATAAAGTTTCATCAAGTTCCATCAAAGAAATCTTGTCATTTATTATGGATCAGTTCTATTGAACGTTGGTCTATAGAATTTATTATTATAAGATATAAATATTTCTATGTAGTTATAAATATATAAACATATGTTCTAAGTAGAGATGCCCGATTCTGAATCGATTCGATTCTTTCCCCAAAAATAGGCTTATTCGTGTTGTTTGTACTCTTCGCACTTTTCGTATTTAAAACTAGACAGAAGTATATTGGAATGTTTCGAAGAAGCAAAAACGAGACAATCAACTCGATTGTTTCTTCCAAGCGTCTGATTAGGCGTTCATCTCTTTTTAAAAGCGAAAAGTATGAAACATGCAAGCAGTACGAACAACCATTTTTCCCTAAATTTGTTAGGGAAAGAATCGAATCGATTAAGAATCGGGCATCTCTAGTTCTGAGTATAAATCGGAATCTATTCTAGACAAGATCGTAAAACTCGTCACTTGTTTTCGTAAGACTCGTAAGAACTTATGAGTAGATCTGCAATTCTATGTGGACCATATGTTATATGATAACTCGTAAATATCTATTTTTTTTTGTTTTTTTCGTAAACTACGATTTTACGATTTAGTTGTATATTTGCTTAGAATCGCAGCACTAACTTCTTCCCATTACCGTAACCGTAAAACTTCAAATAAACCAACTCTTACGGATACACCTATATGACGACTCGATTTCCTTTATGGTTACGGATACGGATATGTTTACGGATCATTGGAGCCGCATCTTTATACGTAACAGGTAAACTGATCTTACGGCAATGCACAAAGGACAACGTAACATAACGTAACTTAAAAATAGAGCATCAGACGTTATGTTTTTCTTTATGTGTTGCCGTAGGACTGACTTACGTGTCAAGGTTCTAACGCAAGGTTCTAATGTAAGATAACGTAAGATATTATGGCAATATACGTGCATTGTGCTGGAATTCTGTAACTCGTTATTGAAGTTAACGACAGTTTCGTTATCGTTGCGCAGCTTTTTTATACTGTAGAAAAGTTGCGCAACGATAACGAAACTGTCGTTAGCTCCAATAACGAGTTACAGAACTGGTCTTTAGACTTCGAGCATAGCATACATGTGTCCTGAAGTCTTTGCTGTGCGCGAACAGAAGAGACATTTGATGCTCAATTGTCATTGCATGTGGACGATGTCCGACGCTAACACTAACTGCGTGTAGAAGTGAGGCAATGATCAGGTTCAACAGAGAAAACTGCTTCGCTACCGCTCCGTAGCAAACGTCTCTGACTGGTACGTCTATCCGGATCTGTCAAAAATTTAAAAGAATATTCCAATCATGAACATTCGCTACGGAGCGATAGTCGAGTAGTTTTCTCTGCTGAACGTGACCATTGTGACAACTAGTACTAGCACTAGCTTTGCGCAACACACAACGATCGACTTACTGCCAAATGATCCGAGATCTAAGGGTGTAGTCCCATGGTACGTATTTTCGCGTAACGCGTAACCGCGTAACCAATCACATCTTTCTATTCTTTTAGAAGTTCCAATAGAAATAATAAACATCACAATTTATTGGTTACGCGATACGCGGAAATTACATGGGACTTCAGCCTAAGAGTTAAGGAGGTTGTGAGACAAAATAAATTTATTAAAAATTTATAGAAACTCGCGTTACATATAAATATTATCTAACTACTCGTGTAATTAGAAAAAAATTGACCATTCCAGAATTGAAATATTTGAAATTAAATTTGAAAGTTTTTATACATATTTCTGAAGTTGACATGCTATTTTTAATTTCGATTTTTAATTTTATATAAACTAATATTTTTAAGTAAATTTTAAATGTTAAAAATGTTAAAATTTATTTTTAACTAAATGTTTTAATAAAAATAACTATGATATTAGACTAATATCATACTACCGACGTTATATATAAATTTCAAGAATTATTGAGTTTTGTTTAGAAAACACAACAGTAGAAAGTTTATAATTTATAATAATACTCGAAATACATATACATATCTAAACACTTATGTACCTCTTTCTATTATTTATGTACTTTTATTAAATCAACTAATGCATAAATGAATGTATTAATAAAAAAATTTTTTAAATAATCTTTCTCAAATTTATAATATGTGTATATATATATATATATATATATATATATATATATATATATATATTCATATCAACTTTGCCTCAAATTAACATTTATTATTTAGCTAATAAATTCATAAAAGTATAAAAATATAAATTTGTTTGATAAATAATAAATCTTGAATGGTCCTCTTGATACATCATTGTAACAACAGCCTTACAACCTCCTTAAAGAAAAAAAAGTAGGATAACTAACTTGTACATTAGCAAGATGCATCTTGACGAGCGCTTTGTAATAGGACAGGTAATTTTGTGCAGCCAATTCCAAAGCTGAATTCAGACGCACTATGCAATTAGTAGCGGCTGTCCCATTACCCAACAGTGACGAAACGCATGTTATCTGGCTAAAGAGAAGCGTGGCACGTATTTTATGTGGCGGAGTCACATCCGAATGCTGCTCAATAATGCTAATATACTCCAATCCTTTTGGATAATCACCTTTCGCCAAACATACTTCTGCTAATCTGGAAATTGTTTACAATATTTTATTTTATTTTCTGTGATGTGTATTCATCTACAAAATAAGTATAAATTAGTTGCTACCTAAAGTTGCATTCTAACTGATCTAAACTTGAAATATTTCGAGCTGCTGTCTCTGCCTCGCTCCATTTTTCTTGTCTCATTAATTGTGTGAATAAATGCAGCTGTTCGCTCAGTATCCATATCTAAAATACGAGAATTATGAATTAATAGAAAACAAAGCTCTTTTCTTTATAAAACTTAATTTGCAATGTTCCTTGTTTCCTATTTCTTTATCTCTTTCTGACTCAAATCTTAAGCTAGAAAAAGAAAATAAGAAACAAGAAGCAAAAAGCACATTAATTAAATTTAATCGTATAATACCTATTTGTGCCTCAATATTTTTATTTAGGAATGTAAAATTATTTCTATAAAATCTTCAAATATCTTGTATAAAATTGCACACACTTTGTTACAGGGCTCGTTAGGAAATCTCTCCTTGGCATGGGCCAGCACGACGTCGCTGAGCGTATATTCACCAAATTCGATTAACATATTCGCGATAGTGACAATCGCTTGGCATGTGGACGGTCCATTGAACATATGCTGTTTCTTGTCACCAGTATTGTGAAGAAGCAACAGCTGAGCACAAAGCGAAGCCATTTCTGTTTTACCATAATACGCCCATAATGCGGACTTCTCCGCAAAAGTAATAGACATCAAGTCTGACATCGAATGCTGACAATTTAACACGTCCGATTTAATTAGTGTCTACAAGGAGAACATGATATAAGACATGATATAAAACATGATATAAGTAAATATCTCATTGTTATATGATTCCGAGTAATCAATACCTCGAACACTTGAGGAGGATTCTTGGCTTCTAGAGCAGAGTTATGTGCATATGAAATGAGACTCAAGCCTGTTGTATGTGTAATGCCGAGTATGCTCGCTTTACCGACTGAACGTTCTATAAGAGGTCCTCTAGGATAACAAACATATATATCAAACAAAAACCAAACATTTACTTTACAAATAAAACAATTTACTTATTATATTACTAAAAATTCTCGCACTTACTTTTCTTCACTGGTCAAGTAATATATCCAAGAATATGCAAGCTGCAAACACACATTATCTCCAGCTTCTTGAGCTAGTGTAATTGCTTCTTTCAAAGCAAACTGTGCAACTTCCCTTTAAAAAAAAAATAGATAAAAAAAGGAAGAAACAGTATGTGTTATTCACTAAAAAATTATAAACTATGGAATAAATATCTTACTTGTGATTAAATTGGGCATGTAAAACAGCCAAGTTGAGTGCTGCGTACCTAAAAGTGCGAGAACGATCTTCAGGCGCAGATCGATTCTCTAGAGGTGCCATTCTATCAAAACAGTGATAAAGACTGTTCACTGCTCCACAAAAATCATTCACACGAATGCAATTTAAATAACTTAAATAGTGCTGAAGAAAGATAATTTTGTTCAACTTTATTATACAAAAATATATATATATATATATATATATATAAATATTCTGGTACTTACTGCATCTGCGTAATAAGGACTACACTTTAAAAGATCTTGAACGAGAGTCTGCAACTCTGCTGGTGGTATTGCCTTATGCTCATCAGTTTGTAAGGCATAAGCTTGTTGTGCCACAAGTAATTCTGCTTGTCTTCCACCCCAAACTCTTTTTGTTCTAAGTAAAACCAATGTTAGTATAAATAGTATGTTAGTTATAACAATAGCTAGTTTATCATGTATAATACTGAATATGTGCAAAATTATGTCTGTATTAAATTATGTTTGCATTAACTTACTTATTTATATCACAGTTTTCTTGCTTGGAGATTATAGAGATATCAGAGTTTCTAGTACTACAAATTTTCCTCTCGACATATTTTTTTAGATCATTATAAAGTGCAACTACCTGATTAAAAGGCAATTTTTCAAAAAAAATACGCATCCTACGAACATATAGTCCAAGAATAGAATTTCTACTCAATATTGGTATAGAAAGTGTATGCTCCTTGGATTCTATTAATCGACAAAGGCTGTTAAATAAATCTAATAATCCATCGACTCCTTTATTACATAGAATATCCAACTCTACTTCCAACTGGTTGGCAAATCGATGTAAAATATATTCAGGAGAATATAATAAGTTTAATAAGACATTCAATTCCATGTCTGCTGACTAAAAATAATAATTATTAATATACATAATTAAAAACTGTTTTCTTCCAATGTTCTGTACTTATAAGTAAGATTTTTAGTCGATACATTTCATAACAATTAAAAAGAAATGGTTACCTGAATCAATTTTAATGAGGCTAAACAAAAATCACGTCTTTCCACAATTGCTATAAAAGATTAATTAATTAAATATATTAGTGCAAAAAAGTAAAGTAGGGTATAAAATAAATAATACAGTAAAAAATATAATAAAATGTACAATGAATATACAATGATATAATAAAAAATATAATAGTAATAAATATATAGGTGGTAGATTATACCTTTTGTAGTTTCATTACAATACTCTCTAATTAAAATAACAGTTGCTATTTTGTATGGAGTTAGATTCTCTTTTTGAATCTTCTTTACATTACCATCGACAGTTACAAATTCCTTAGACATTTTATTAAATATTTCGTTCATTTTACGTCACACTATAAATAGACATAGGCTGCGTTTCGAAATTCACTGCCAGTACTGAAATTCTATAATATACGTAACATAAACTATAGATTTTCAGTACTGGCAGTACATTTCGGAACCCAGCCATAATAGATCTATTCACGTTGCTTGCACTTTTGACACTTTTACACTTTGGCCTAGGACGCAATCAATGGGTGCGTTCAGAAGACACAACTGTTGCACAACGGTTGAGCAATTAGTCAATGTAATTGGTTTAAAGTTAGGGATCTAACAGTAAGGACCAATAATCACTGACCGCTCACTGATCAGCTATGTTTCCTGAACGCAGCCAATGACCTGGTTTACATCGTGCACTTAATACGCATACTAAATAGTAACTTTCTATTAATCTTAATATCGACGATATAAACAACGGTATAAAGGGACGTCTACATTGAAAGTAAACAGTAAGAAGTAGGAAGTAAGAGTAAGAAATTGACCAATCATAGTTAATTATTCTTCTCATATTCGACTGTGGTTGGTCAATTTCTTACTCTTACTTCCTACTTCTTACTGTTTACTTTCAATGTAGACGTCCCTTAAGGGACGTCTACATTGAAAGTAAACAGTAAGAAGTAGGAAGTAAGAGTAAGAAATTGACCAATCATAGTTAATTATTCTTCTCATATTCGACTGTGGTTGGTCAATTTCTTACTCTTACTTCCTACTTACTTCCAATGTAGACGTCCCTTAAGGGACGTCTACATTGGAAGTAAGTAGGAAGTAAGAATAATTAACTATGATTGGTCAATTTCTTACTCTTACTTCCTACTTCTTTCTATTTACTTCCAATGTAGACGTCCCTTAAGGGACGTCTACATTGGAAGTAAGCAGTAAGAAGTAGGAAGTAAGAGTAAGAAATTGACCAATCATAGTTAATTATTCTTCTCATATTCGACTGTGGTTGGTCAATTTCTTACTCTTACTTCCTACTTCTTACTGCTTACTTCCAATGTAGACGTCCCTTAAGGGACGTCTACATTGGAAGTAAGCAGTAAGAAGTAGGAAGTAAGAGTAAGAAATTGACCAACCATAGTCAAATGTGAGAAGAGTAATCAACTATGATTGGTCAATTTCTTATTCTTACTTCCTACTTCTTACTGCTTACTTCCAATGTAGACGTCCGTTTAAGCTGATATAATTCTCATCAAGAAAACATATTGTATTGATTGAACGCGTCGCCGTTAATATGTATTGTTAATATTAAGATTATCTAATAGAAAGTTACTATTTAGTACGCGTATCAAGTGTACGATGTAAACCAAGCCAATGACGTATTGGATGCTTACGATTGGTGCTTTCCAATTGCTTAACACATCTTGACATACATACATAATACACACATAATACACACACATAATACACATACATAATACACACACGTACATAAATCAGTTTATTAGTCAAAATTTTTCCGCAGATTCCACTAAAAACTGCTGACAAACTGTTGAAAAAGCGGAACACTCGTGATTGGTTCCGCTCTCGTTCCACGCTCCGCAATCCGCTGCATGGGTTTGCACCCTGATTCAATTCGCGGAACGCGGAAATCTAGTAAGATTTTGTCTTCCGCGTTTCCGCGTTTCCACCCTTCATGTAATGGCACCCTCACTAGCACCGAACTCGCTATCGGGTGCTTTCTAGTTGCGTACTGTATTATCTAACATATTTTGTAAGATAATAGGTGCCTCAACGTGCTCCTACTCGCTCCAACGTACTCTGATTGGTCCGCGTGGTGACGTGGCCAATCAGAGTGCGTTGGAGCGAGTAGAAGCACGTTGGGGCATGCGACGCGAACAAACGTTGTGATTGGTCAATTTGCTTACTGCTTACGTCTTATGGCTCCTGCACACAGGACGCGGTAATGCTTGCCGCGCGGCAGAAGTTCGCGCGACAGCCAATCAATATGTTGCTTTTCTGTAAGAGCTAGAAGGTTATTACGGAAAGTAACATATTGATTGGCTGTCACGCGAACTTCTGCCGCGCGGCAAGCATTGCCGCGTCCTGTGTGCAGGAGCCATAAGGGTCAATATTTCATGTGTCGTACGACAAGCTTTTCGGATACGTTTATTGGTTAGCGAATAGAGTATTTCTAGGTTCTTTGTTCGTCAACCAATGAACGTATCCAAAAAGTTTATCGTATGACACGTGAAATATCAGCCTAAACTTGGAGTAAGAAGTAAGCCGTAAGAATTGGCCAATCGTAGTCGATTATTATAAAAATAATCGTCTATAATTGATTAATTCTTACGGCTTACTTCTTACTCCAAGTTTACTCTGCATATTATAGACGACGCTTTAGAATCGCCACTAGCAATCCATGGTTATGTAGTCAAAGGTTTCGTTACGCTATTTCTTTCTCCATCTCTTTCTAAACGCATCCTTAAGAGTAAAATTTTCTTCAGCTTTCTAATATAGAACAGCTTTTTAATATAGAATTCAATGGATGGGACCCAATTGACCACGATACGATTGGACACAGATTGTAATGATTGGTTCAACCTGGTAATTCACTAGATAATTCTTTGCATCGGTTGGTTGTACCGTGGTCAATCGGGACGCTCCCGAATTCAATTCTCCACTAGAAAGCTATTCTTTTATTGGATATCGAACATCGTACGTCGAACATCGGACGCAGTGTGAATCCTGCATAAGTCTATGATCACACATTCATAGATTCTTTACCAGGTGGCGCATACATAAGTCGACAGCACATTTTCGTAATCTGTGTAAATTTGTGCATTGATTAGTGGGGACTAGAGTCCTAGAATATAATGTATTTTAGGCGTCGTATTGTCGGCATCAAATTTAAATATACGATTATATATGAAATAGTATTAGATTAATTAGAGTATTTCTAAGTCATGCTGTAATGCCACGAAACGAAAAAAATGATTTTAGTGCTCGGATGGATCGGAGATTAGCGTATAGTCGCCATCACTGCATCGTATCGTATTGCGGACGAACATTAGACCGGATGATTATGATATAATTACTACTCGCAAACAATTTATAGTTTGAGAAGGAATATTATTGTGTCCCTCAACACAGCCGTACGAACACTCCAACTCGGTTGCACATTAATATTGCTTCCTACAACTTATTTTACAAGTTTAAAAAGTGTACAAGTCGTAGCATATTCAGAATTATGGCTAGTCCGGTCCTTAACACCACTAATGGATATAATTTTAAAGTCGTTTTACTTGGCGAGGGCTGCGTCGGCAAGACCTCGGTTGCACTTCGATACGTTGAGGACAAGTTCAATGATAGACATATCAGTACACTGCAGGTAACTTGTATATTTTTAAGAACCAATTCACATTGCATTGATTCAATTCTAATCTCAATTGCTTTTTTCTATGCTAAAACTTAATTATAATGTACTTATAATGTATTATAATGTTTAACTTTATTATTATGTTATAGACGCAGAAAAAACTTTGGATGACATTTTAACAATTTGATTGTACTCTGTTTTAGGCATCATTTCTAAATAAAAAATTGAATATTAATGGGAAAAGGGTGAACTTGGCAATATGGGATACAGCTGGACAAGAAAAATTTCATGCATTAGGTCCAATTTATTACAGAATGTCTAATGGTGCTATTCTTGTTTATGATATTACAGATGAAGATACATTTCAAAAGGTATGTTATAAGTATATTGATTGTACTAATCAGTAAATTTTGCATAATTAAATTTATCCATGAATTTTGATTTTTAAATTTATATTGAGACAGAAGATAACAATGAACAAATTATTTAGCTCTAGTTTAGGAAATATAAGCTATATTTTAATTTTTGTAAATTTATGGTATAAAATATGATAAAAGTAAGACAATAAAATATATTTTATACTACAACTTTTTACTTTCATGTTTCATACTACAGAAAAACTAAAATTTATCTTAAATGTTATATTAGTAGGTAACTTTTAACATTTTTTAGGTAAGGATAGTTATACAACAGAAGAATAAATTTTGCAGCTTTTATATTCCTCTATAAGAAATTAAAATATTCCTAAACTCTTACAGAGCTATCATATCAGTTTGAAACAGAAAACTAGATTTTAAAGAGATGACTTTGGAAAAATTTCCTTTTTATTATTATTTGCTATATTATGGAAACTAAAGCTAAACTTTGGTTTTAATTGTTATATTTGCGATTAATACCACAAAATTAAGGAGTTTATTCACCAGGTATGTATTTTCAGGATGTCCAAGTAGCATATTTTTTGTGGCACATCAAGAAAACTACTCATAAATTCACTATTTATAGAAAAGAATTATGTTTTTATATACCTATTTTATCATTTAGATAGTAAATGTTAATTGGAAACTAACTTCATAGTCACTATTTTGCCATGTTTCACTCAGTACAATGTTACTCAAAGTATAAAATAATAGTTTTCTGACCTACCATTACACAAAAACAGTGCAGTAAATACTATTCTTTTCTCTATGTCGTGTTTCCTAATATATAATTATATATATATATATATATATATATATATATATATATATATATATTTTATAACGGTAAATTTTTATTTAGATGGTATCATTTTTTACAAAATTATATTAAAATAAAGGACCCCGCACAAAACCTATGGAAAATGGTTTTCGGTCAAATTGGCTGAAATTTCATTATGTTATAGTTTTCGCCATGCTGATAAAAAGTTATCATTGCACTAAGTCCCAAAAGTCAATATTTCCCAAGATATAAAGGGTCAAAGTAGAAATATGGTCATCCGTAGTAAGACGTATGTTATAAGTATAAGTGATACATTGATATTTATTCACGAAATAAATAAAAATCGATTTTTACATATATATATGTAATAAATATTTAGTTCCGCAATATATATGTATATGTATATACAAGG